CTGGTTTTATCTTCTATCCAGACCACTGAAACTTTCTCCTTATCAGCAATAAAGCTGATTCACTTTCTTATCATTCGTGTGTTCACTGGAGTAGCACTTTTAATTTCCTTCAAGAACGTTTCCTTTGCATTCACAACTTGACTAACCATTTGGTGCAAGAGGCCTAACTTTCAGCCTATCTTGGCTTTTGACATGCCTTCCTCACTAAGCTTAATCACTTCTAGCTTTTGATTTAAAGTGAGAGACATGCGACTCTTCCTTTCACTTGAACACTAAGAGGCCATTGCTGAGTTATAAATTGGCCTAATTTCAATATTGCCGTGTCTCAGGGAATAGGGAGGCCCAAGGAGAGGGAGAGAGATGGGGGAATGGCCAGTCGGGGGAGCAGTCAGAACACATACATTTTATCGATTAAGTTCTCCGTCTTATACGGGTGCAGTTTGTGGCACCCCAGAACAATAGTAACATCAAAGAACACTGATCACAGATCACCATAATAGATATAATAATAATGAAAAAGTCTGAAATATTGTGAGAATTACTAAAATTTAACACACAGACACAAAGTGAGCACATGCTGTTGGAAAAATTGTACCGACAGACTTGCTCGATGCAGGGTTGCCAAAAACTTTCAATTTGTAAATAATGCAGTATCTGCAAAGCATAATAAAACTAGGGACATGCTTGTACCTGGATCATAGTACTTAGTCAAGCAAACTTTTGAATGCATAAACGAATGGCCCAACCAATGAAAAACCAGACAGCTCACGTGTATCACAGGAAATGAAAACTACACTCCAATAGCTCAATGTTTCCTATTCATTCATTCACTCAGCAAATATTTATGGGGACTATGTGCCAGGCACTGCACTGAGCCACAAGGATACAGCAGTTAACGAGACAGACAGCATCTCTGCCTTTATGACTGAAGTCTAAATTCTGTTCTCCATCTTCAAGAAAGCAAGACACAATAATCAAAAAATTTACTTGTCTGTGTTACAAGACTGACAGGAAAGTATGCTACATGCAATGAAAAACAGTGGCATTCTATAAAAAGACCACAATGAAAAATACATTAAGAGTTGCAGACATAAAGCCCCACTGCTTCAAAAGAGAAAAAGGAAAAACAAAATGTATGTAAACTTAATGAAAATAAAAACTGATGCACTGCTGTTGAAGCACTGCAGGTGGTGGGGGATAAATAACAAGCTAAAGTTGTCTTACATAAACTATTAATTAAAGCCAAGAAATTTTAAAGTAGGATTCATCCTGCAAAAAAGATGGCTGCAGGGAAGATGAGAGATAAAATGTTTTGTCCTTAATGAGGCACAGCTAGTGGCTTTCTTCTAGAGGCAAGGATTAGGCAATACCAGGCAGGATTATATCTGTAATAATGTAAGAGTGTCACAAAAAGAATACAGTCAGAAGAATAACAGGTGATGGAGAAAAAATGTGAAAAACAAAGACATGCATCATCTATGCAAATTTTGCTGAATTTGTTTCCCAAATGAGATATGTAAATATTGTTTATATAGAAAACCTATGAGTAGGAAAGGAGAAATATAAAAACTCTAGAAAAACACAAGTTCCCATAAAAGACAGGAAACATGTTGTAAATGCAAATTTCTAAATCAAAGTAAAGTCTCAACATAATTTAGGTAAATCAAACTATAATAATCACAATCAATGCCAAGATTCACAATGTATATATAGTTAAAATATTTCACATACAAAGTGTTTTTTCAATGACATTTTTTAGTTTAGCTTAATTGTTTAAAGGGCAATTTATATAGTTGATATTCTAAAACCAAGCACATCTAAATGTAACTTTACATCAAAATGGATTGTCTTAAGAAAAAGGATCCCCTGACTCTTAAGTATCATAGTTAATGTGAATATTAATATTCTGCAAACAAGATTATTGAAGACTTACCATGTGTTTCATTTGGTGGTAGGTGTTTTACATGCGTTACACCTCAGTATTTTTCAAAATAGTAGCTGCAAATCATTAATGGGTCTTTAAATCAATTTAGTGAATAGCTTTAAAAAATGAAATACAATAGACTAGAATAGAAAATATCAGAGCGTATCACACAATCTAAGAAGAGACAATGTTCTATAAAATCATCATTTCCATCATATAAACATATGTCTCTACAGGTGTACCAGGATAAGATGTGAAATACAGTTATCTTGGGTCCTAGAAAAAAGGTTTAAAAGCCTCTGCATAATTTTGTTTAATTTACATGAAATTCCGCATGGCAGGTATTACTAATATACTGTTTTTTATAGATAAGAAAGTAGACACTATGAAGCAACCTGTTCAATGTCAACATATCAAACTAACAGGGATATTCAAGTCTTCGTCAAATTTGTTGTTGTTGTTGTTAACTGCTGTCAAATCGCGGTGACCCCATGCACAATGGAATGAAACATTGCTGGGTCTTGCGTCATCCCCATGATTGGTTGTGGGTCAGACCATTGTGATCCACAGGGTTTTCACTGGCTGATTTTCAGACAGATTACCAGGCCTTGGTTTCTAGTCTGTCTTAGTCCAGAAACTCTGCTGAAACCTGCTCAGCATCGCAGCAATACGCAAGCCTCCACTAACACAGGAATGGTGGCGAGGCATGAGGGACATTGGCCAGGAACTGAACCAGAGTCTCCTGAATGGAAGACAAGAACTCTACCACTAAGCTACAGTTACGCCTATCTAATTTTGAGCCTACCTTTCTCTACATGAGAATCACTAAGACGGGAGAAACAGGGAAGGAACGAATATCAGTTAACAAAAAAACACGAAAATCTATTTATCTATCTCCATCTGACATAACAAATGTTTGTAGTCACTGATCTAACAACATATCTCTCCTCAGCTTATCAATGAAGGCACAACCTAAGTAGCCTCCGGACATAAGAAAAAGGTAGTAAAATTTAGAAAATAATATTAAATGTATAGAAAACTGCAATATTTACAGATTCTAATTTGAGAAAAGAAAGTGCTTCACTCAAGATTCACTGCATTGCTACTCACACCCCCAGTTACTTCCACTGGGGGCAAAGGAAGATGACCCTTGAGCTGAATCTATAAATGCCGATAACTGATAGTATCTGCTGTGTATCGTCTTTAAAGGACACTAACGTTTTGACACTCAGATTCAAGCAACTAAAATAAAGATGATAAAACAAGATAAAGTTGGTTGAGGTCTAGATGAATTTGGAATGGCAACAACCACCAGAAAATGAAGCTATCAGCAGGCAATATTTTGACAAGGTTGGAGAAAGGAAGCAGTTTGATATTTGATTATTACCTTGTGAAATATTTAGAACAATGCTAATGTCTTTTCCATTCAATGCTCAACAGTTTTATTTTCCTTCCTCACTGAAAGGTGTTAGTCTGTTCAAGACATGTGGACACTAATACTATGACTACAGAAAAGAATCCAAGAACAATGAAAGAAGGAAAAAAAATGCAAGCATTGCTTATTCATTCTTACAATATATTCTAAGCAAAAATGGCTGATGTGCAAATATCCATTCAAAAGTTTAGTGCTTTGCTCACCAGATTGAGTTTTTTTTTGTTTTATTTTATTGTTGATTTTTGGGGTATGTGGAGGGTGACTGCCATATTATTCATCTTTTTTCTACTACGCCTGGCATGGTGCCTGACATTCACAAAACCAAACCCAAACCTGTTACCATCCAGTTGATTCCAACTTACAGCGAACCTATAGGACAGAGCAGAACTGCCCCTTAGAGTTTCCAAGGAGTGGTTGGTAGATATGAACTGCTGACCTTTTAGTTAGCAGCCATAGTTCTTAACTACTGCACCACCAGGGCTCCTGACTTTCACAAGGAGGCACAAAACCACAAATTACATAAATCTTAGAAGATTCCACCTACTAACTATTCATCTCAAGGAACTTCTAGTGGGTTAGTTAATTATGTGAGCACTCAAATGCTGTTCGCTGAACTGAATTGCTAGCACTTAATTCTTTCCATGAAAATGGATGCTGCTCTCTGTGCTCTAGCCATCTTAATCTCCCTGCAGTGCTACCAAGCCACCAAATGCACACCTCTGTATCTGACCCAAATGGCTCTGCCAGAAACTCCCTCACATTTCCCACGCTCCCTAATGCCTGTTCATTCTTTTAAGATTCCAATCAGCTGTCACGTCCTTCAGGTGAAGCACCTCCTCCCAAGAGGTGAGGTGCCCTTCTCTGTGTGCCCACAGGGCCCTGCACAGACAGCACTTCTCATATCAAGATAGTAGTGTGACTCAGTTGTCTCTCTCTTGGACTTTAAGCAACTTCACGGGCCTGAACAGACAGCACTTCTCATATCAAGATAGTAATGTGACTCGGTTGTCTCTCTCTTGGACTTTAAGCAACTTCACACTAACTCCCCCTATCCCATGCCTCTAAACCATCACAGCAGTTCTTACCACATTTTTTACTATACTGGAAGGCCTTTGTCATCTTAGCATTAAGTAGTATTTTCTAAGAAGGAAAATCAGAGATCTAACAATAGAATTCAATAAAAGCAACACCTCTCCTTCCTCTCCTCATCTTTCCTTCCAACACTCTCTTCCCCCCCCCCCACTCACTCACTCTCTCGCACACACATATATACACACACACAGCAATACTGAAGAGTAGACATCTACACCTGAACAGAAAATACTTGGGAAATCAGCTTTTTCCTAAGTATTCCTGGATACTATGCACCTATACTATTAAAAACATATATATATGTATGCATAAATATATATATAGTACATCATCTATCACCTTACTATGGAAACTTAATGGGCCAGATTACAGCAAATATTTTTAATTTTCATTTAGTCTAACACTTTATAGGTATTAATTCAAAAGATTATCATCAACATAATGAACACTAATAAAATCAACACTTTTCTAAACACCGTTAGGTTTTAACTACATGACAAACCAAACCAAACAAAATAAAAAACAAGCAAAAGACAACAGTTCTGGTACCTTCAAGACACGTTTGATAGAACCCAATACAAAGTTTCTTTGTGGATGTTTTCTGTTCTGAAGAATCCAGTCACGATTTAACACCTTTTCGCCTTCTTCTAACACACATTTATGACCTTGGAAATGTGGCTTCTCGTATAAAATCCAGCTAAACAGATAGAAAGCCAATGATCAGTTTTAATTATTTTTATACAAAATAAGACATAAAACAAATGATACTTAGTAGTTCGCAGACCATCTTATCAACTTAAATGTTTAAAGCTGGGCTATTTTCCACTGTTAACATACACACTATTTTTTAAACAAGGATATGTGATAATTTAAGTACAGATATCATTAAGAAAAGGAAGACCGAAAATGCATAGAACTTGGAAATAAAAATACTTCCTAAAAATAACACCACAGTTTATGTCTTTGCCTGTATTTATGTATGTATGTAGTTTATATATGTCATATATACAAAGCTGTACATATATACTAAAAACTGTAGGTTAACAAGAACAAATTATACTTCTACCCTAATTTTCCTGTTTCTGAATAATATATCACAAGTGTTCTATTTTATTACAGGAAGACAACACTACACCACTCTGCTCACAACATGAATACTGACCAGTGGGTAACATAAAACTGGACAAAGAAATTCTAACTCCAGCATGTCCATGGGACCTAGTCCATAAAAACAAATGCAGTTTTCTCTCATTTCTAGACCACACAAAGCATCCTTTAGTCCTTGAGCATGTCAGCCATACAAATGACTTTAACTATGTGGCCTTCACATTCCTTAGCATCCCACAAATTTTGAACTTGTTTTCAATGTTATGCTTCACTCAGCTGAAGCCTTCAACTCCACTTGATATTTTGTTAACAAAATGAGACCATGGAAGAACGTTTCTGTGGCCAAACCTATCCTACTAATAATGCAGTTCCAGAATGGTGTTGATCGTATATATTACGTCTTGCTACTTATTGCTGGCTCTAAGCACTACAGACAGGCTATATTTTCTGCCACAGAAAATAAAGAGAACAATTAAAGGTACAAAACATTAATAATGCTCCAAAATACTCTGTCAAAAAGTAGAGGAAAGGAAACGTGTCTTTAATAGAGAGACAAAAAACAAACACACTTAATTTCAGAAAATACGCTATAAAATTTTAAGAGATTTCTTACCAGCCCCTTACAACTTTTATCAGTACCCCATTTGGAAAGGACCATGATGTAGCATCGGGAATATTACTGTAGATTTCTTGTTTATATTTACTCCCATGGAGATCATAGATAACCATCTGCAACATATAGCGAGTAGGCACAGTAACTAAGGAATACATTTAAAATTCTAAAATGTTCTAGAATATAGAAAATAAAATATCTGAAATACACAAGAGCAAATTATTATTTTAGATGCTAAATCCTTGAGCAAAATAATCATTTTCTATATCAGTTAAGATTACTAATCTTAAATTCCCCAGGCCTAAAAGCAATTACTTTTCACATTTTATCTATGTCCACCTGAGAAATTTATATGCTTACCTTCCCAGGTCTTGGGATACACCTCAGAGTTTGCTTGTCAATATTCTGAAATTACAGAAGTATAAGAAGTAAACCTTAGGAATCATCAATGGAAAGGTACAGCAGTCACAAATTCCGTTTACCACATACTTAATGGCTATCATGCACAAGATGCTTCTCTAGGTGCTACAAGGGATATAACAGTAAATAAAGGAAAATAATGTGTTGTTTCTGATCTCAAGGAGCTTACAGCTTAGAAGGGGAAACATATGAGTCACACTCCCATGACCCTTCTAAGTGGAGGACTAAGGTAAATCCACACGCAAAATACAAAGAAAATGCCAGGCTATGGAGAGTCACAGGAAATGGGGCCAGCGTGAAGGTGAGGGGCTAGCACAGGGAGATTCAGAAGAGGCTTCCCGAAGGAAGTGGTATTGAGATGATCTCGAAAAACAGGATTTCAATAATTTAAAACATGTGGCAGGGTCAGGTGGGGGTGGAAGAAAAAAAATTCCAGGAAGAGAACCATCTTGAGAAAAAGCACGGTGGTAGGAAACACGGGTGTGTAAGCAGAGCACGGGAAGACAAGGTTGGAAAAACAGAACTCAGAGAGCCTTCCAATACAGAGTCAAGAAGCTCCGCTTGATTTGGTGGGCAATGGAGAATCATTAAAGAAACATTTTTCAACTCCCACCATTTCTTTTAAAATGACTTTGCTTTGCAAATACTTGGTACTGAAGTAGTACTATTTGCTACACTAAGGCTTTTCAAGCTCAAGGCACAGTCCTTGGGAATCCCAGAGAAAGTTCTATGATCTTGGGAGTGCCAGAAAGGAAAATCCCACATGCAATGCATTTTCTACGTCAGACATTCAAATATTTCTAAATCAAAGAAAAATGCTACTAAATTTCAAAAGATTTTCCTGCTATAATACGTCCAGCTCTTTTTCTGTGAATTATGCATGAAGAACATGAGCAACTCAAGTGAGAGGTTGTTATCAAGCAAATACTTAATTTTATCCAATAGAAATAGTTTCGAGAGATGCATAAAGCCAAAAAGCAATCTTTTCCCATATACAGTACCTCAAGGAATTCAGAATGTTGTCACTTTATGTAGTTTGAAAACTAAATATCAGCAGAGGTCTGGGCAATAAGTTGCTTTTCTTTTACACCTTTGAAATTCTGACTGAGCAATTTTTTTCCTCAATGTAACAGTCCAGCTAAAACACATGAGTTATGATACACTTCAACCAAAGAAATGATGCTGATATTTTTTAAAACAAAGTCTATACAACCTAAAAACACTGGTTTTCTTAATAAGCTTTTTCTTAATAAGCTTTTAGATCATTTCATGGTCCAAAGCTCTTCCTCACTAGTGAATAATCAGAGTAACTTACCTCTGTGAATAAACTTAATCTGGCTGAGTTGTCTTGAACATGGAAACTCTTTGATACTGGTTCCTGAAAAATTCCACCAAATCTGGCTCCTTTTTCTGAGGAATGGGTTTTGGAAGCCTGCAAATACTGATGATATGCACTCTTCAAAGAAGAATGTAGTTTAGAAGTAAGGTCTGATTTTTGTAGAAATGAGGTCTTTTCTGGCCACAGACCAATTTGCAGATTGGAGGTAGTAGGTTCATTTGACATTGCATATGAATGCTTAGAAAGTCCAGTCGTTTCCTGGTCATCCTCAGAGTAAAATGCAATCGGAGAATCTGGCAACTGGAAGCTCATGTGTTCTCTCCTTCGAGATCTCAGACTTCCTCTATGCACTAGTTCTTCCTCTTCCTCCTCCTCTTCTCCTTCCTCCCCTGCCTCCTGTCCATCTTCATCAATGTTCATCTTTAAACGCTCTGACACTGACTGGAGAAGTGATAAAACAGAAGAGGGCTGGTTTGTACTCTCTCTTGATTTTGTGGAGCCATGGTGACCAGGTGAGACCTCACTGGATAGAATGTCCTCCTGAGAGCTGTCATCCTCATAGATGGGAGACAAAGCTAATGGGTAAATTTTGTACCTTTTGGCCTCCACTGATAAGAACATTTCTGAATTATCACTATCAAACATCTCACCTAACTTAGTGTCCTTTTCAAAATGATGGACAAGGTCAGTTCTACTCTCAGACCTTTCACATGCCACAACAGGCATGCTGTCAGTGGACGTATCAGGAAACAAGAGACAACGTGTTCTTCTCACTTCTGCAGAAGCATACTTGTCCTCATCTTGAAGGGGCTCTTCATATAATATAGTAAAAGATGGATTTTCTTGTTCATCGTGAGAAACAAAGGCTAAGTCTGAGTCTTCTTTTTCATTGCTATAGTCTAGATCTCTCTTTTTGTTACATACTGCAGTAACAGACATTCTTTTGTCTAGACTTGCTATGGTATCCTCAGGTTGAAAATCAGGTATTGCTAAGGCTGGGTAGCCTTCATAATCCTTACTTAATGTAGGTGATTCATAGCCCCTGAAATGTGATGTAAATCTACTGTCACAGGCTATCAAGCTTTCCTTTATTCCAGGTGGCTCTTCCTCCATTTTTCCAACAATCACTTCAGCATAGACTTGGGGTACTTTTTCGGCTTCAAATTCGGAAGGAGGCATGGCCTCTGCTTGTGTAATGGTCAATTCCAGACCTGCTCCGTAAGTATTCTCAATGTTTAACATAGTAGATAATGCTTCTTGTTTCCCACTATTCCCATCAGAATCTTCTGTGGATGTTCTTTCCATTTCTATGGCAGGGAGCATGGACACAATTGTCCCAATAGTCTTTTCAGTATCCCTCTTGTATGCTTTTTCCATTTCTGAAGAGGCAGAGGCAGATGCTGCCTTGTGTGCTTCTTTCACATTTAACACAAGAGGTAACATTTCAGTATTTCTAATAACTTCTTCAGCATCCTTTTGGTAGGTATTTTCCACTTCTAACACAACAGGGGTCACCTCAGTTTTGCCAGTATCTCCTTCAGCATCCTCTGGGCAAATAGTTTCCATTTCTAATGTAACAGGTATCACTTCCATGTTTTCAGTAATCCTCTCAGACTCTTTTTGGTAGGTATTTTCCACTTTTGACATAACAGGTGCCACTTTGGTCTTGTCAGTATCCCCTTCGGCATCCTTTGGGCAAATATGTTCCATTTCTAATGTAACAGGTATCACTTCAGTATTTTCTGTAATCCTCTCAGCATCTTTTTGGTAGATATTTCTCACTTCTGACGTAATAGGTGTCACTTCAGTCTTGCCAATGTCCCCTTCAGCATGTTTTTGGTAAATAATTTCCATTTCTAATGGAATAGGTGTCATCTCAGTTTTTGCAATGTCCCCTTCAGCATCCTTTTGGCAAATATTTTCCATTTCCGATGCGACAGGTATCACTTCAGTTTTCCCAGTAATCTCCTCAGCATCTTTTTGGTAGGTATTTTTCACCTCAGACATAACAGGCATTGTCTCAGTTTTGCCAATATCCCCTTCAGTATCCCCCATCTTATAAGCTTTTTCCATCCCTAAGATGACAGGTAATACCTCATTTTTTTCAATATACCTCTTAGCATCCATTTGGCACACTTCTCCCTTGTTAAAAATGTCAGCTCTTGGCTCAGTTTTTGTGCTATCCAATTCAGCATCTTTTTTATGTGCTTTTCCCATTCCTAACATAGGAGGCGCTGCCTCAAACTTCATAATATTCAGTTCAGCATCCTTTTTGTTTGCTTTCCCCATTTCTAACATGGAAGGTATAAGCTCAATTTTTCCTATATTTACTTCAGTATCCTTCTTGTGTACTTTTCCTACTTCTGACAGTGCAAGGGGTGTGCTTTTACTACTGTGTCCTAGTAAATTTTTTTCAGATATACATACTAAACTATCAGACAAGCTGCTTTTGGATGTGCCAGGTATATGGATATCGTCATTTACAAATGGAGGCCATCTGAAGTTTAATACAAGAGTTCTTGTGTCTTCTGTCCCAGTTTTGTGATTATCCACACACTCCATTTCAATTTTCTCTTTACAGCCCTCTTTGAGAAGTAAATGTGTTTTTACCCCATCATCTAACTCTTCATGGGGCATGTCTTCGGATAGTAAAACAGTATCTGATTCCTGTGAATTTATATTATCAGAATACCCCACTCCATTTCCAGGAAATGGGGATTTTTGGTAGAGAACAATTTCTCTTCCTTTACTTGACTCTGTGTCACTAACCAAGTTACTTACAGAGAAGAATCTACTTAATATTTTACTTTCATTAATTTCATGTGTGCTTTGATTTACTGCTTGCTCTGATACCAGGAACTCCCTAACTCTATCACGTGGCTTAACACTACCACTGTTCAGAATTTTTGAAGTACTGGCCTGAAGTTCAGAATTCCAGGTATCTTCAGTATCTTTAAAAGCATCATCTGTCACATTTTCTTGGGCTGAAAAAATAACCTCATCGACTAATTCCCTAGCTTGATCTTCTAACAAATAAGACACATTCATTCTATCAGAATCAAAAAGGAGACTCTTCTCACCAACTGTAGTTAAAACACCAGCCTTTTCTTCCCCTTTGTTTTCTGACATGTTTTCCACGCCCTGCTCTTCCAAATGGTCTGTCACCTGGATCCCTGTTGGCGTCACTTCTTCTGATGGGTTTTTCTCAGGGATGTCTTCTTTCAGGGTACCTGGATTCATTATACCATCTGTGGCTGTATGTCCCTGGTAGATTCCAACTGGGGGTTTAGATTTTAGTTCTTCTCTGACAGAGTTAAAAATTTCATCAATTAATGTATCAGCCTTTTTAAGTAAACCACTTTTGGGGTCCATAAGTTGGTCATGTGCTCTTCTCCTTGCTTCTAAGTGCTCAGCAGAGGCTTCAGAACACTGCTGGCTTGAGCTGTTAACTGACACTGGAGCCCCAGCAACTGCTTCAGCCTCTGCTTCCCTAGGATTGTCAAACTGGGCAGTAGTTGGGAAATCAAGAGATACCTTCCCAGTAGGAATCCCAAAATGTTCCCGAAGTGGGGTCACTTCTGCCCCTGTTGGGTTAGGCGTTTCAAATTCCAAATAAGAGCTATTAAGGGATAGCTGGTTACTTAAGGGGACACCTTCATGTGTGAGATCTATGGTAACTTTTTCAGAATTAGTATTATCTTTTAGATTATGTGAACTTGTAACCATGTTAACGTCTTCAGAGTTACCAGAGGAAGACATGCTATCAGTACAGCCCCTTAGAAAATGAGCATCCTCCTCCTTTCTGTGAGATGAGGCCTTCTCTTCTGATCTCAGCACAGAAGGAACATTAAGAAAGCTTGACTCCTCAGATGCAAAGGCATTTTTTTCCAAACTGACATCAGAAACCAGAAAAGGTGAATTTACTTTTGTGCTGTCGGTTTCTTGGAATTTTGGGAAAATATTAGTTAAGCTGAGTTCTGCCATTTCTGAGAGCCCAGAAACGTTTTTGGTGCCATGAATCTCTGAAGGTTCACAAATCAAGCAAGTGTTAGTTTCATAATTCTGTGCCATTTGCCTAGTGACTTTTTCGTCATGAACAGGAAGTAAAAGAAGAGCAGGAGGATCACCTAAAGCTTCTACCTCTGGCTCCTGTATACCTTGGTATTTGGAGGCAGAAGGAGAAACTTCGCCTTGGCAATTCTCTTTATGGCCCAAATCTGAACATTTCTCTTCAATCTCTTGACCCATGGATTGAAAACTTTTGTCTAAAGAAGTCAATTCTGACAAAACAGACTTTGCTGGCACATCTGCAACTTCAGATGAAGAAGAAATTTTATCCTGAGAAATAATTCTGGGCTCTGTTTGGGAAACAGAAATCTTGGGTAGGGCTATAGCTTTTCTTCTTCCAGAACATGACTTAACAGGAACACTATTATGATCATCAACTTCAGTTTTTGATAATATTTTAGCAATGTTATCAGTTTTGGTTTCCAAGGAAAGAGAATCAGACTTATCTATAGTGCTGTTATTGGCTTTACTGTTTGAAGGAGTTAGCTTTGCTTTATGAGGCCCTTGAGATGAAACTGAACTGTGGTCCTTATACAGCCTTCCAGACTCAGAGCTCAACCGGTCCACTCCAGTTAAGTGGGCATCACTTTTTTCAGGACCCAGTGGAACCTGGTGTTCTTTACAATTGGGAAAAGCTGCCTTGGATTCAAAAACTGCAGGTGCATGCTCAAGGTGGAGGGAAGAAGGAGGACTTTTCCTGTCTGCAGCTTCAACACGATCTGCCACATTTTCTTCTTGACACTGATAGGAAATACCAGCAGTGTTGATGCCCCCAGTTTCAATGAGCACAGAACCCTCATCCTTTAAAACAGAATTCTCCAACTTGCTCAGCATGCCAGCTCCAGAAACAAAGGTAGGAGGTGAAGTATTGAAATTCACTTTTTTACAGTCTAGGGTAAGAGATTTTTTAGCATCCAGTGATACTGTGGCTTGTTGAGGACTCTGAGGGTCAAGAGGAGATTCTGAAATGTGATTTCTATTAATTTCAAAATTTAGTTCAGGTGCTATTTTATCTTTTAAGCATGCTACAACTGCTGATACACTGATAGATTTTAAAGAGGCAGAGTCCTTTTGATTTATTCTAACAGTTTGAGAAGTTATGTCACATGGCCTAAAATCAAGCTTTTTGGTTTCTGTTGCAAGCAACTGGTCAGTGTCTTTGAGTAATGACTCATTTCTACTTTTTGGAGCATTACTTGAAGTTGTGGGTTCACCAGCTGAGGTGCTTTCTGTTTCTTGCCTGATTTCTGTAACAGCTAAATTTATTTGTGAGTCTCGGGCAGTAGACAGGTTTTCTTCATGTGCACATTCTGTGTCTGTCACAGTATGTGTCTCAAGAGCAATGGTGCTGGTGTGATTGGCAGCCAGCTTTGATGAGTTATCTATGGGTTGTGTGTCAGAATACTTACTCTCCGGTAACTGCAGATCTTCATGCCTAATTGATTTATTTGGACTTGGGGAATTTGTACTTTCCTGTTTGGTAGTGTCACTCCCATCAGCTTTAACACAAGAGAAATCAGAAGTAGCAGGGCTCTGAGGCTCAATGCGCTCTCCTCTTTGCAACAATGTCCCATCTCTCCTCACGCAACTGTTTTCTTCTACCCTATTTTCTGTTGTTCTCCTCTGAAAATCTGGACTGCAAGAAACTCTGCTATTGTTACTTCCTGTAAACAAAGCTGAACATACCAAACTTCTGTCAGTCTGAGAAACTGGTACACAACTTAAATGCTGCTGTGAGTCATTTTCTCCAGTGGCAGACTTGGAGTTACTCAGAGAAAAAGGGGATGACCTACTTCCCTCAGGTCCCCCAGGATCATTTTTATTTAAAACATGCTTAGAAGAAGCAATATTTTGCAGTTCTGGGTTGTTTGTCTGATGGCTTTCTGTGTTGAAATTTATTCTGCTACCACCAGAGTCTTCTAACAGACCTCCAAGCAAACGTCCTTTCACAGATGTGTCTATGCTCGTCGACGACAATGATGGAGCTATCCCAGCTGCAATCTCACTTCCAGGGCCAGTGTGTATGCTTGTACTGGAGTCAGAACTTTCATTTTCTCCATCCAAGTGATGCACAGTATCTAGCGCTCTCTGTTTCTTTAAATATTTCCTGATTTGCCTGGGGCCCCGGTATGTTGCATGTGTTACTGAAGGCCTCTCTGGTTTACCATCAACTTGTCTGTAAAAAAGAATTAGCATGAGAGTATCAGGCAATATAGTTAATAACAACAGTAATCTCAAAAATTATGGTAAAGTATATCTTTCAAATACTACTTTTCGGGTAAGACAGTACACAGCACTGGGGAAGTCAGCACAACTTGTCCAAGGCAAGGTCATGGAAGCTCCATAGACACATCCAAACTCCTTGAGGAACCAAATTACTGGGCTAAGGGCTGTGGGGACCATGGTCTCAGGGAACATCTACCTCAACTGGCATAACATACTTTACATACTTTACACTCTACTTTGGTGAGTACCCTCTGGGGTCTTAAAAGCTTGTGAGCAGCTATCTAAGATACTCCACTGGTCTCACCCCATCTGGCGCAAGGGAGAATGAAGAAAACCAAAGACACAAGGGAAAGATTAGTCCAAAGGACTAATGGACCACAACTACCACAGCCTCCACCAGACTAAGTCCAGCACAACTAGACGATGCCCAGCTACCACCACAGACTGTTCTGACAGGGATCACAATAGCAGGTCCCAGACGGAGCTGGAGAAAAATGTCGAACAAAATTCTAACTCACAAAAAAAGACCAGACTTACTGGCCTGACAGAGACTGGAGTAACCCTGAGAGTATGGCCCCCGGATACCCTTTTAGCTCAGCACTGAAGTCACTCCTGAGGTTCACCCTTCAGCCAAAGATTAGACAGCCCATAAAACAATGAGAATAAAGGGCCACTCCAGCCCAGGGGCAAGGACTCGAAGGCAGGAGGGGACAGGAAAGTTTGTAATAGGGAACCCAAGGTCGAGAAAGGAGAGTGTTGACGTGTTGTGGGTTGGTAACCAATGTCACAAAAAAATATGTGTACTAATTGTTTAATGAGAAGCTAGTTTGTTCTGTAAACCTTCATCTAAAGTACAATAATAAAAGATTAAAAAAAATTGTTACTGAAAAAAAAATTTCTTTTCATATGTACTAAGGAAAAAAAATCCTAGAACGCTTTAGTTAATCCTATCTTTTTTTTAAAAAAATTAAGATTTCACAAGCAGCACATCAATGTCAAGACAGCATAAAGAATGTTTGAGCTCCTTAGAACTGTTCTCTCTTACCAGATTAAATATATGTCTCTTACTGAGGTTAATGAAGAGAATGTGGGATAATGAGTCCAAGCTGTGGGTTCTGCTTCTAATCTCAAAGGAGCATTTGACTCAAAGGAATCACGCTGCCTTTATGCCTCATATTGGTACCCCAAGCTATAGATACGCTACGATGACCTCTCCACCATATCACAGCATCACAGTGAGCTTTGGCTCCTTTACTCTTGGATGTGAATTTGAACAGCACCGTTTCGTAAATACGTGGAGAAGTTTTAAAGGAAAATATCTGGCAAGGTGTCTGGCCCACAGTAAGGACTCAGTAAATATCTGTTAACCCAATAAATGACAGAATTGCTTTAAAATTCCTCTCTCATGTCAAATTCTTCAAATACTCAATTAGTGTAGTGAGTATTAAACTGCTGGAGTAAACGCAGAAATCAAAAAGGATTTCTAGAAAAACTGGAGAATCAACCCCAGAGTAAAGTTCCTGTTGCTCTCAGTATCCAACTTTCTTTGAAGAGTCTACCTATAGGAGGTCTCACGCTGTGCTATGCTCCTTACAGCCTTTCAAATACAGCATTCACTCTCCTTTAATTCCAACCTGAGAAAAACTCTAACATCCTGTAAGGATCAACTCACAAATTACCTTCATCACAAACCCATGCCAGGACCTTGCTACTAATAAAACAGGCAGTTTAGCCTCTGATTTTTGGATGCAAAAAACCCTGAGCACAGCATCTGCCACATTACATTACAAATATCTATGCACTCATTTATGTTCCCCAACAGCCTGATGGCTACTGGAGGGCAGGCAATATGTCTTAATTATCTTTGTATTTTTAAGTGCTCAACACAAGATCTGGCAAATTTTATATATTTAATAACTTATCTTTAATAACTTTTGTGAATTAATAAGTAAAGCAATGATACTGAACGCTAAGTAATCTATTTCAAACTAATGTTTTAATTATAATAGGTGGTATAAAAGTGTCTTAGATTCAGTTTTAATTATAATAGGTGGTACAAAAGTGTTTTAAATTCTGAACTCTATTATATTTTAGTGTGCTGACTATAACCATGTATGGTATAAGAATTTGATATGTGTTCTATTTAATTTTTCCAGATTAAACATATCGTTAACCAAAATATTACCATATAATGCATATGAATAACAAAGAAACCGTGTTACCAGTATTCCAATATCTAGAAAACTTTATATTCTCCCCTAACTGAAAGCAGTAACATAAAGAAAACTAGACTTGTCCAAATGAGAAGACGGAAACTCCCTTTAAAATGTAAAAACTTCACCTACTGTGCCCCTTACATACTTCTTGAATTTTAGCTGAAATAATTCATTTCAACCTAGATAAGTGCTGGTCTCTGAAATCTCAGCACACCACTATTGCAAAAACTTGGATTAGTTACATTCGTTTATTTTTACTATCCATTATAAAGCAAGTACAGGAAATGTGTAGACAAAAGCTTTGCCTTCCAAAAGTGGTTTTACCTGATGCAAGCGTTTCAGGCTACATCAAAGATTGTTAGAAGATAAAGTCAAAATTTGGGTAAGGCACTGATCAATAAAAATATGTAAGAAAAGAAAAATACATACAGGTAAATTAATGTTGCTAGTGAAATCTCACATCAAAATACATAAATTATTCAGAAAATACAAGAGCCTTTCAGAGTAACATATGAAAGTCCAGAACTCTAAGTAAATGATGAGAGTGCTTTTTCATTTGTTTTTTCTTAGAAGATTTAGTATCTTATATCTAAAACACACTTTCAACAGGCTGTAATTTCTTTTCCCCTGAAAGATTACCAAAATAATTTTGAAGAAATAAGCAAAGAAGTATACATGAAGTCAACAGAAATAGGAAATGAGAAATAAGATAAGGATCAGAATTTTACTCTTCAAGTATTGTAAATCTAGGTCATCTTACTACCAATTCCCTCCTAACTGGGCCTCATGCATTTTACCCTTCATCATTGCAAGAATGCAACTTTTGATCTAAAAGGACTTCTAATAAACTGAACCACAGAGAAAAGTCCACTAGAGTTCAACTCTCTGTAATAATAATGCCCTTTGGTAATTTTGGAGTCTTTTGGGGAAAAAAAAATTCACTGCTTTCATGTTTTTTAGGGCTCTCTGGGTACGTTCAACTAAAATAATTAAATTGGTTTTTATGAAATTGAAAGGATCCCTGGTGGCACAATGGTTAAGCTCTCAGCTGCTAAGCGAAAGGCTAGTGGTTTGAACCTACCCAGGGGCTCCTTGGGAGAAAGACTTGGCCATCCGCTTCCGTAAAGATAAAACTGTTGCCATCGAGTCAATTCTGACTCATAGCGACCCTATAGGACAGAACAGAACTGGCCCATAGGGTTTCCAAGGAGCAGCTGGTAGATTTGAAATGTGGACCTTTTGGTTAGCAGCCAAATGCTTAACCGCTGTGCAACCAGGGCAAGAAAACTCTATGGGGCAGTTCTATTCTGTCACATGGGGTCGCTAGGAGTCAGAATCAACTTGATGGCCCACAACAACAACATGACATTGAAAGATATTTTCTTCAACATATTCAATTAATACTATGGTTACATACTAGGTAAACTTGAACTAGTTTAAATTTTTAAGTAGATGATCTCCCATAGCACCCCGGGTGGAAATGTTTTATGCTTGTAACTAAAATATGCATCCTTCATACTAAACTGTATTATCATGTTTAAAGTACTGAACATCAAAGTTGTAAGTTCAGTTTGGTGCATTATAATTAGCCCCTTCAGGTACTGATGAGCTATACTCCCACTTTTTAAAGGGTTAGTCATTCCAGTATAGACTATTTTCTACATCATTCTCTCAGACTGTGATTGAGTCACTGTAATTGAATAACATTAAGAACATAAAACTGTCCTTTAACTTTTTGCTTTTTTTCTCTAATTAATAAAAGAAAATACAGAAAAAGAAAACGCTGAACCATGTAACTTTAAAAATAAGCTGAAGATGAAAAAAAAAACGGAGGCTCATTTTTCAAGCTGGACAGAGAGAAGGGAGTATTAAAATTTCATGTATTCTGTATGTACCACATATATCATGTATATGTCATAATACACCATACATCATGGTTTTATGCATTTTAGCCAAAGACATAACTACCCATCATGTGAATGTTTACTAAGCCTCCAGGGACTACATATAGCTGTTGTTTCTGGAGGAGTTTGATCCACCTGATGCGACAAACGTCAACCAAAGACGTGTCATTCTTCAAAGAAAATTCTGTAATAGCAGCCTGAAAAGAATAAGTAGCCTTATAACAACAGTCTCTAATTCACTTTTAGGAGAGTATGATTAAGCTACTTTTTTAGCATTAAGATTTATTTCTTTTCAAATTACATAGTTAAGAATATTCTCTCTCACAATAGGGAAGGCTTTCAACTCTTCAATGTAAAGAACAACTGTAAAACCAGCAGGTGGGAAAAAAAAATCACAAAAGAGCTTTGACAGGACAGTTTCTCATTATGATGGATACAAACGTAAAAAATTATAAATTAAAACATATAACTCTTTTGTTTGTTTGCTTTAATCTAGCAATAAAACAGATGTCTATGTAGATTACATGACAAGCATGAATTAATGTCTGGAAAATGATCTAAAAAACGTTACCAAAAAAGGTTTTCTTAAAAGTTGTATGAATATTAAAAAGGAAATGTGCATAGTCAACTATATACAGAATCAACTACAAAGCTGTTTATTATTTTTAGTTAAGAGAAGATAAAATGACAACGCATTTTGGTGAGAATTTCAATTCACTTCAAATAATAACTAATCTAAATATTGAAAACTGTATTAATGGTCATCACAAGAAATATATGTTTGGTACTACAGTAATAGTGTTATACAGCACAGATTATTTTATTAACTTGTCTAAATTAAGTCATTCGCCCTTTTTAAGACACTCCAATTATCAAGACCTACAAAGAAAAAAAACCATGGGAATTTTTACATGAGAAAGGCAATGCAAAACATTCCATTAATTCACTCTTCCCTATATAAAAAATTTAAATTTTTATATGAAACTTAAACCTCCTAGTAATTTCAAAAGTACATGCTCTTTATTTTAAATAACATTTTATACCTGAAATACTCTCATGATCTGAATTAAAAAAATTAACTATATCCTTGCTTTTAGTAAATTCATATCACTGAATCAAGACAACTTTAATATTTAAAAACGCAGAACTTCAAAACTATTAGTAAATACTTTCTCCAGATATATTATTTAAATAACATCTAAAATCACTGCGAGTAGTTCTTAAGCACACTGCCAAAATAAACTGTTAACCAAAATGGTATTCAATTCCTAAACAAACTATAATTCATAAACAGATGACTGTCAACAGTGAGTTACTAAAACTAGATGCTGTAATTCTAAGCACGATAAGCTATGGATTTCCAAGGCTAGGCCTGGAGGAAGCCTGTGTCTCAGTCAAACTGAGTGGGAGTCCTGTGGCCTTTTTCTTTCTTCCTACCCCACTAATTTTAATTACACTACTTTACAACACCGGTTCTCAAATGCTAGCAGCGGCGCATACACACACACAAATCACCAGGAGAGGTTGTTAAAGGCTTGCTGGCTCCACTCCCAGAGGTTCTGATTCAGTGAGTCTGGGGTGGGGCCCGATAACCTGCATTTCTAATGAGTTCCCAGGCACTGCTGATGCTGCTGATCCAAAGGCCACACAATGAATAGACCGCTGTAGGCTACTGTACATTAAGGATACACCATAATTTAACCATTTTTCTTCTATTGGACATTCGTTTCCAATTTTATGTTCTTATAATGTTTCAGTAAACATCTTTGTACATACTCAGATACACCCTACTAATTTTTTAAGGTTCTTGATACCTATTGCCAACTGAATTCTTAAAATATGCTACCAAGTTCCAACCCCCACTCCTAGGAGTGCAGTGTACATGAGCGCTCATCTTATCAACTAGTATTATTATTTCTTATTATGCTATTAATTTAACAGGAGAAAAAATATCTCATTTTAGTTTGCATTTGCTTGATTTCTAGTGAGGATAATTTTTTTATTCATTTTTTATTGGCGAGTCATATTTCGTTTATTTGAATGATCTGTTTATATTGTTTGCCCACTCCCCTCCCCAACTGGTATCTAAACTGCTTGCCAGTTGAAACATTTTCTGTCATATTTTTTGCATACAGTTTTCTCATTTGCCAATTTAACTTATCTTTATGTTGTTTGACATAAGGGAGTTTGAAAATTGGGAAAATTCTATCTATTGATCTTCTCTTTCTTGATTATCTTCCATTGCTATTAACTTAGAAAATTGTTTCTCACTAAAATAAAATACCAATTCACATATAGGTCCATTTAGTTTTGTAGGTTTTTTAACATGTATCCATTAATATGCCATCTTAACTTATTTTAATATAAACATGAGATTAAATATCTCGCTTTATTTTTTTCTCCAAACTGTTAACCAATTCCCCCAACAAATCTTCCTTTCTACAAGAATATGTAATACTATCACATTCAAGGGTTCAATTCACAGAATACAAGGGTCTATTTCTAGACTGTCTATTCCTGTATTTTAAATGTCTAGCAAATGTTACATCTGTATCACATGGTTTCAATTACTGTAGCTGTACCAGTACATTTTAACATCTGGTAGAGCAAGTCCCTACTACATTATCCTCGATGGGCAAACTCTAAAATACCTGGCTCTTAGTTCTCACAACTGTGACATGGGTCTTTGCCTATCTCATAGGCTCGATATCAGAAATTAACTGAAAGCATACACATGAAGACACTTTAAAAACCATAAAGAACTGTATGATTATAAGTTATCCATATCCTGATACAGTATAACTGATGGCCTCTTCACATAATGAAATGAATTCTCAGGTAGACGCTAAATTAAAATCAATAGAATAGAACCTTATTAGCTATGAATGAATATTTTTACATTACATAAGATGTTTAATGGGGTCAACACTGCTGTAAGTATTTCTCAATAGAAGATAGTCCTTCTTGCTCATTTGTGGAAAAGGTAAACAAGTTAGAGCCTGTTTGTTCATCAGAGAAGAGACAAGGTGGAATGTTTCCTTAATTCATGTAAGATTTCAATTTCTTAGAGCTCTCGGAAAGGTTCATAAGGCTAGTCTTATGAATATAATCAATTTAATTTCTTAACCACTTTAATTTGATTCCACAAAGAAAAGAGATTCATGGAATGAGAATACAAAACTCAGGACCATTTTTGGACTCAAAATGTGCATACTGAACACACTGACTGTCCTAATACAGGAGGAATTCAGACAACAACAATCTCATCCAAAGAAGTCTTACATTAGAAATAAATCCTGTACTACCACAAATTTAACAGGTATTAGTACTGTTCCCTAAACAACTAAAAAGTCCCTACATTACCCGTATAGTACAAAGAGATACATAATTTTTTAGGTACTAGCAGGGACAAAGTCTCACATACTTTGGACATGGTATCAGGAGGGACTGGTCTCTGGAGAAGGACATCATGCTTGATAAAGTTAGTGAAAAAGAGGAAGACCCTCAATGAGATGGAATGACACAGTGGCTGCAACAATGGGCTCAAACACAGCAATGATTATGAGAATGGCACAGGACCGGGGAGTGTTCCCTTCTGTTGTACGTAGGATCGCTATGAGTCAGAACCAACTCAGTATCACCTAACAACAACAACAAGGAACATTACAGAGTCCCTGGGTAGTGCAAATGGTTACCGCGCTCAGCTGCTACCCAAAATGTTGAAGGTTTAAGTCCACCCAGAGGTGCCTTGGAAAAAGGCTCAGTAACCTACTTCTGATAAATCAGTCATTGAAAACCTTATGGAGCACAGCTCCACTCTGATATGCACGGGGTCTCCATAAGTCGGAATCTACTCAACAGCAACTGGTTTTTTAGGAACACCACAGAATGCTTTTCCCAACTCCCTCAATTAAAAGGATTGGAACAAATACCAAAAAAGCTCGGTCCAAGAGCTCAATTAAATTTTATACTTACTTTAGCAAATCATTGGTTTCCTGCTCACTGTCTTGTGTTGTATTCAAAGAAAAGGCATCTGAGAGTTCAGGTGAGGTGGAATTTTGTTCCTCTACTGGAAGCACCTGAGCTCCAAAGAAGCCACTGAAAATCTCCTTCTCCCTTGTGATTCCTTCCTCATGCCGGTCACTGAGACTTGATAAATCTTTCTCAGTTTTGTCATGACCATCTTTGAAAGAAGACTGTTTAGTTTCACCAAGAGATGATTTTCCTGAGATATTAAATAGGTTACCAAGAAACTGGAAAAAGCTTTCTTTGGGCTGTCTATCACCTTCTCCTATTTTGGTGTCTGAAGCAGAACTGGACAGATCATTTGGCTTTTTGGAATCTTCCTGCGTTGGAGGAGTAATTGGCTTCTCAGCACTGCTCCTTCTGTCTTCACTTTGGGGAATCTTTGAAAACAAATTAGAGAATCATAAGCATCATCATTTAAAAAAAAATAAACTGAACAAAATCAGTTATCAAGAACTACTAGAGGCCAAACGCATTTAATTCTGAGTAAAGGTAATATGTTGCATTAACATAATTTTTAAAAATTTGTTTAACAATCAGTCACCTTAGAATAAGCTTTGCTATACAATCACAAAAACAAAACAGAGTGAATCAAAGATTATTAAATAATTAACTAAAGAAATAGATATAAGCAAAATCTATTTATAATCAAAGTTCATTTAGAAGGTACACAAAGATGCCAAAAAACAGCAGAACTAAAATTTACACTCTAGAACAGTGCTGCTTCTCAGCTTTTTTTTCCCCACATTGGCACCTCTGTAAGGGGGTGTCTGGGGCAGTGGTGGTTCAGTGGTAGAATTCTTGCCTTCTATACAAGACACCCAGGTTCCATTCCCAGCCAATGCACCTCATGCGTGGCAACCGTCCATCTATTGGTGGAGGCTTGTTTGTTGCTATGATGCTGAACAGGTTTTGGCACAGCTTCCAGACTAAGACGAACTAGGAAGAAAAGGCCTGGTGATCTACTTCTGAAAATCAGCCAATGAAAACCCTATGGCAAGAGACCAAGTAGCACTTCATTTCATCGTGCATGGTGTCGCCATAAGTCAGGGGCCAACTCCACGGCAGCTAATAACAGCAAGGGGATGTTTGACTTTTCTTCCTCATCACCCACTCCCAATTGAAATTTAAGAACCACAGATATAATGCATCTCTGTGTATGTACTGTGGCCCTTTTGGAGGGCCACAACCCTTGTAATAGCTAAGATTTTTCACTACCCTTATGGGGGATGAATTGCCTCCCTTTAAGAATGTATACTCAAACCCCAGAAGGCAGGGCCCCCAGACTCTTAGCCCAAAACTAAAACCATTCCTGAATCCAACTCTTCAGACAAAGATTAGACTGGACTATAAAGCATAAAATGATACTTGTGAAGAGCGTGCTTCTCAGCTCAAGTAGCTACATGAGCTTAAATGGGCAGCTCCTGTCCAGAGGCGAGATGAGAAGGCAGACACAGGGTCAGGAGCTGGTTAAATGGACACAGGAAATCAGGGGCGGAAAGGAGGAGTGTGCTGTCAGATTATAGGGAGAGTAACTAGGGTCACATAACAATGTGTGTATAAATTTTTGTATGAGAAACTGACTTGAATCATAAACTTTCACTTAAAGCACAATAAAAATAAAAAAATCAGCTTTTGAAATACTCTAGATACTATAACCGTATACCTATAAATGTACTCAATACATGTTGTTGTTTAGCTGCCAACAAGTTGGTTTGGACTTATGGCAATTTTAAGTACAACAGAACAAAACACTGCCCGGTCCTGTGCCATTTCCAAGTTCTTAGATATATTCGAGCCCACTGCTGAGATTATTGTGTCAATCCATTTCATTTAGAGTTTTCCTCATTTTCAATGACCCTCTACTTGACCAAATATGATTCCCACTTCTAGAAATACATCTTTCCTGATGACACATCCAAAGTAAGCAAGAAGAAGTCTTGCTTCTAAGGAGCACTTCGGTTGTTGTCTTCTAAAACTGACATGCTCATTCTTCTGGACTTTAATATATAGTTAGTATTTTAATTTTTCTACTAGGAAAAACATTTAAAACCTTTTCTTCAAAAGAAGAATGTAATAGTAAAGCAAATTTTACTACTATAAAAATTTGTAATTTTTTCCCTAGTGTTCTCTGGTAATTCACATTTAACAACATTTAACAAGGTCCACAGAATGAGTACAGCTTATGTGTTCATTACTTCAACCCTACGTAAAGGCACTGTCCTAAGACACTGGAGATCTCAAGTTGAATACTCCATGGTGCCGGCCTTTTAAAGAGCTTACAGTCTTGGTGGGGCTTCTTAAGTAAGTATGTATTCGCTGTTAGTCAAAATAGGTGACTGTGATTCTTTTAAAGTAATTAGTTGACCTACTACATATTTCAGGACGCTACTATGGTTGAAGTTGCCTCTTATGAAGAAAACTTTTTGAGAAAGGTCATCTTTATCATTTTACTAGAGGAAGTCTGACTTCAAACTTGCATGAAATAAAGTTGAATTTAATAAGGATTCTGAAACAAGTGGGCAACATGATTCAAATTCAGTTCAACTCCGTAAATACTGATTGATGACCAATTATATGAAAGACTGTGCTATGCACCAGGGACATATTTGTGAATAAGACTGATGACTTCTATTCCCTTGGGCAGTTTACAACCTACTGAAGAGCACAGTCAGCAAGACTTTAACAAAGCAATATAGTAAATGTCGCAAAGGGAGAAGTACAGCACACATGGGAACACAGGACAGGAGTGACTAGTCCAGATTTGGCAGAAATGAAAGCAGAGGAGACAACTCAGGGGACACATCCTAGAGGAAGTGCCCTCTGAACCGAGATCTAAAGAGTGTGGAGTGCGTATCCGTGTGTGTATGTATGATGGCAGCTTCTAACGAGTATAGTATGACAGGAGGTAGATTAGGGTACAGTGAGATTAGTGGAAGGTAAGTCTGGAGGGGTAAGTCAGAGGAAGGATCATGGCAAGCCTTATTTGTATCTAAATTTATCTTTTATTATTAGAAAGCTAATAGACAGTATTTTCGCACACTCCATAGTTTTATAGAAAAGCACCTAAATAGGCCTCCTCATTTCAGCGTTGTTGTAACCCATGAAGCTGCCACATTGGGCAAAGTCATTCCTGAAGAAGGTAAGGAAAGACAGTGACACAGTGCTTCAATTCAGGAAAAAGAAGCCCACTATGCGCCCTGGAAACCCTGGTGGCGCAGTGGTTAAGAGCTCGGCTGCTAACCAAAAGGCCGTCAGTTTGAATCCACCAGGCGCTCCTTGGAAACCCTATGGGGTAGTTCTACTCTGTCCTATAGGGTCACTGTAAGTCGGAATTGACTCGATGGCAACGGGTTTGGTTTTGGTTTTTATGAGCCCTTCTGGTAAAACAGAAAATCCTGATATGCCTGTTAATGTAAACCTTGGGTGGCACCCAGCATTCTTGCAGATGTTAAACACTTCCAGAGGTGCATTTTACCTGCTCCTATTTAAGTCACTAGTAAAGCAAACTCACACTCATGTGCTCTATGCGAAGACAAACTGAGCTTTTACATCAAATAGCATGCTGGCATTCCACCACAAGCTTCTCGGATCTGAAGAGCTCGAGGCAAATGTGCCAACTTGTTCTGCCTTCTGAACGTGCTTGTTCCCATACTTGTCAAAGGAATGTACGTCCAACAGTATCCATCAGATGTCATGCTCACTAGTCCTTCAAAGAAGAAAGCTTAAGTGTGAGTCAGAAAAAGATCAGGACACTGAGGAAAAACCACCTGGGGGCACTGTAAGAAGCTGATCTTCAAGAAGGCAAGAGCATTATAATTATAATGTCATTTGTTCACCTCATTCCATGTTTTAATCCAAGTTCAAAACAGTTTACAGGAGCAGTCCACTAAAGACTAGTGAAATTTAGCATATGAGAAAATGTTTAGATCCCACTAACCCAGCAAATTAATTTCAGGCAAACAATGATTAAAGTTTGTTCCCACTTGGTTTCAGAGGGTTTTTTTTTTTTTTTTAAATAATTATACAGCATTTTTCTATGTGTTTGCCAAAAACCAAAACCAAACTCCCTGCCGTAGAGTCGACCCTTTAGGACAGAGGAGAACTCCCCCACAAGGTTTCCAAGGAGCAGCTGGTGGATTTGGACTGCTAACCTGGTTAGCAGTCGAGCTCTTAACCACTGCACCATCAGGTGAAGTCTCTACATTGCAGCCTTCTAGAGTCTCTGCAACTCTCATCTTTTACTGCTTTAACTGCAACCTGATCCCACTTGTCTCCACCTCCTCGGTCCAGCCTTCTGCTCATTATGGGAGCCCGCACTGTAAGTTAGCCAGGCCCCCTCTTCATGTAAACACATAATGGCTTCTCAGTATGGAAGCAGAAGATATGCCAGTTGCTAATTTGAAAATGCTCATGTACATAAAGATATTTATACATTTCTTCTCCTTTAACCACTCCACTTATTTTATTGTAATTACCAGCTGCATTTCCCCCCAAGTCAAAATGAACTGACACTATAATATGAATAGATTGTTAATTAATTTTTTCTACTTACCTAGTATGAATGACTGCTCATTCTGGGTTGCTACCTGAAGAAAGCAAACTATGAACTACTCATTAAAATATCGCAAATAGTCTTTTGTAGTTGTTAGCTGCCACTGGGTCATCCCTGACTCATGGTGACCCCATATATAATGGGATCAGACTGTTGTCATCCACAGGATTTTCACTGGCTGATTTCTGGAAGTAGATCACCAGGCCTTTCTTCCTAATCTGTATTAGTCTGGAAGCTCCACTAAACCCTGGTCAATATCATAGCAACACACAAGACAAGCCTCCACTGACAGATGGGTGGTGGCTGTGCATGAGATGCATTTGCTGGGAAACGAACCTGGGTCTCCCACATGAAAGGCGAGAATTCTACCACTGAACCACCAATTTCCCCTAAAATGCTTTAGGGATTCACAAAAGAGTCTTATAAAATTGGAGAAATGACCTAAATAAAGGAAAATTAAAAGACCAGGGACATTCATATTTTTTTGGCAACATCATTAAAGATCTAAAAATAAATAATAGTATTTATTTCACTGCTTCAATTATTATTTTTACTTGACCTTTGGTTTCAAAGCATAAAAGATTGATTTCCAGAGAAGATACCTTTTACCAAACTAATGAAAGCTATCATATTTAACCTTTTTAGAATTATCTACAATTCTCTTAAAATATCACTTGTTGCTCCATCTCTTCAATTTTCAGCTTCTTTTCTATTCCACAATCTCTATATCTTAAATTTACTGAAGACCTTTTTTAGCTTCCTTAAACGCTTGAGTTGGTTATTAACTTTTCCCACATAATCCAACGAGAAATTTGTATTGATAAT